CTTTATATATCAAAATTATATATATACATGACTTAATTAAGAAGACTTTGTAACATATGACTCTAATATGACTTGTTTTTTTTTTGAAATTGATGTCTCATTGAATCTTATCTCTAACTTTTTTTTGGTGCATTAAAAAGATCTAATGTAATGTTTTCGTATTGTAAGAGAAAATTATGCAAAATATATGTATTAAGTTCAATATTTTTTAAAAAAATTATAAATTAATAAATTATCAATTTATCGATTACATGATATCTCAATTAATTAATAAATTTTCATGATGTTAAAGGTATTGATTTATAGAAGTTTAATTATAATATTTTAAAAATTAAAAATTAAGAATTTAGGATTTTGAATTTCTTGTTATTAAGGGAAGAAGAAGAGGAGAAGAACAAAAGGAGATATACTCTTCTTAAAGGATTTCTTGTTATTAATGCATCAAATGTAAAATCTTAAAAGATTTTAGTCTTGTCCTTATTGAGTCACAACATTGAATGTATCATGAGATTGCTTGAGTTAATTACTTTTACTCTTCTATAACGAAATCATAGTCCACATTTTACAGCAAAACTTATGTATAAGACTCTTGATTCAGTAGAGATCCTAGCAAAACAAGTAACAGTTCCTTTGAAGTAAGTTACTATTTCTTCTGTTTCAAATTAAATGTCCATTTTTACCATTTTTGACAAAAAAATTAACTTTGATTATTATTAATTATAATGTTATTTGTAATTATAATTTCGACAAATAAAATTTAAAAAATCCTAAACTCAAAATTTTCAAATCTTATTTTTGAAAATTTTAATTTTACGATATTATAAAAATTACTATCAACGTTGGTTAAATTTAATTTTAAAAAATACAAAGTAAACACCCAATTTAAAATAAAAAGAGTAGCATCTAGTTTTAACACAACATTTTGTCTAGAATTAAAAAAAAAAAGTGAAAAAAGGTTGATTTTGGGATTGAAAATCTAGATTAGGGCTTCTTTTGTTTTAAACTCCATGGTGTAGGCCTCTAGCCATGGCATAGCTTAGCTGTTCTCTTTTTTCAGTTATTAAGAGGGTATAGCTAAGGCTGCTGTTTAAAAACTAAGCACTAGTACCAGTAGATAACTAAATGGGTAGGGCAATGCTGTAGCTAGTGAAGCATGCATGAACCTTTGCCTCTTGCATTAAATTTCCTTTGTTTTATTTTCATGGCTATAACTTCACTTGTCGTTTTTGTTGTCTCCAAGTATGTGTGGAGGTTTGAATTATTTGAGGTTTTGGCATTAGCTAGAGTTGCATAAGAGTAATATTTAAGATAAGGAGAAATGATTTTGTTGGAAACAATAAAATACAAAGATTTCTTCGAATTTCGATAAAAAATACACTTATCCTTCTAATTTGAAAATTACTTTTCTACTTTCATGAGTTTGATAAAAAAAAAAATACACTCATTAATCCTTTCAAAAACTAACGACATTTAATATTTTTATCCGTTCTAGCATGTCAGCATGTAATAAATGCATGTATAAGTTTTGGATGAAGAGTAAAACAAAATGTGAACATAGTTGTGTGTCTTTTTAAAAGTAAATGTTACTACTAAATTAAACTTTAAAATAATGAAAAATAATGTAGTATGTGGAACATAGTTTAAGATAATGTTGATAATATATTATAGACCTTATACCTATACATTAAGGTAAGAAACTCAATGAACAAATTCAAATGCAACTTGTCTATTGATATTATTTAATTAAAAAGATATGTGGTACATGAACATGGACTAAATTAATGCAATTAACTAAAGAAAAGTAATAATACTATAAAAGAAATGAAGAATTAATCATTAATTTGTGGCCAAAAAAGGGAAAAGAAGAAACCATCTCTGTGATTACAACAATCATAGAGATGAGAATGATGTAGGGAAGACACTGGCCAAAAGGGTCTTTTACAAAAAATATATGATGAGACAGCTGGACTAAGCAATGGAGAAATCAAGCCACAAATGGTTTCTTAGGAGTATTAAAGAATAAGGAAGATGATAACATAAACAAAGAACAGACACACATAATCATGGCCCTTCTCCTCTTACCCAAAATTGTCAAACTTCAAGGGTGGGAAAGAGAGAGGGAGAAAGAGTCTTCTCTCCCCCCACACCAACACCCACACCCACAACTTGGCCAATCTTCATTAATTGAGAGAAATCAAAACCAAAATGTGTTCAAACACGCATCCACAGGTGTTGTGTTCTTCAAAAGGTGGTTTGCAAATTTCAATGTGAGGGGAAAAAAGCAAAGAACAAAAAAAACATGGGATTATTATTTTATGGTGGGTTGTTTATCCTTCGTCAATGTCATTATCATGGTTGACCTAGGGCTTGATTTCCTTTTTTCTTTGTGTTTCTTCATGTGGATGACTACTACTCTTTGCTATGGACATGGGGGTGGTGTTGGTGGTCCTTTTGGGGATGGAACTCTTCTTTGAAATTAAAAGAAAAAAAGGGAAAAAAATTATAGTACTTAGTGTTTCATGATGATTAATTTCCCAATAAACAAATAAGGGCATTAAGGTGAAGTAGTATTTCACTTTTGACAATCAAAAATAAGTTTCCTCTTTTTAGTTTATGATTTGCATTCACATTTTTCACATGTTTTGTTTAATTGAATTCAACATCTCCGAGTATAATATATATAAGCAAAAGTATAAACCTTTTTCTTAGATGTGACATTTTATGGTATGGATATTTTATAATGTGTCATATTATAAGAAGTTTCGTTTTTGTTTCTAATTAGTTAAATATCCAATTAATATAAGAAAATGCTAAATTATCATGATCAATGTCACATCAGTATGATTAACATACCACATTAGTATTTTTAACCGTGTTAAGATTTATATTGAAATTAACAAATTAAAAAAATATATAAAAATTTAATTTATACGAATTATTATACATTTATTAAATCAAAATTTTTTATAAAGTGCAGAATCTAATTATATAATTTGACTCAAAAAATAGTTTATTTTCATTGCATTTTAACTCCTTGAAATCAATCTTTTAACTAACTTGGAATGGTTAAAAAAAAATGGGTCAATTAGTATTTTAGTATTTTGCAATTTTTTAACCCATTTCCTTTCTTTCATCTTATGACTCACAAATTGCTTACTTTTCCTTTTTTTCTTTTCTCATATTTTTAATAATTGAAAGACTAATTCATCTTTAATTCTTTTCCACCACTACTTATTAACCCTTTTTCTTTAAACCATCTAGGAAACTAATGGAAGAGTGGGAATAGGAGCTGTAAAAAGATGGAAAAGTCAAAAGAAAAATGATAAATATTCCATCCCAACACCAAAAAAAAAGAAAAAAAAAACTCCATCCAACAAAATTATGAAACAAATCTAGTTGTTGGGGAATATAAGAACTAGCTTTTAAGCTTTTGATGTCGGCATAACCTTTGATTTTAAGCCAAATATCTTGCAATCACATAAGGTAATAAGTAACAACCATACCTCCATGATCAAGCTTGACGGGTTTTGACACAACAGGGTAACAAAGAAAAAATCCTAACAACAAAATCTATATATCATTCTACTTGCAGGATTGGGACACAAAACAAGGTCCCACTTTCACTTTGGGTGAACTCTAAGGTTTTCTTCTTCATCATGTAAGCCCATATAAGATTTAATTGTCCGCCGATATACGTAATCATTATTTTAATTCGAATTTCTATTCAATATTCGGTTAGTATATAGGGTTTATACAATTTCACTTAATCGTAAAATGTTACACCATGAATATATGAAGATAGAAATTAAAAATCTTTTAAAATAAATATGTTACCAGTTATGAGTATTTAAGTCTTAGTTAAGGAAATGGCTAGATTTACTTTACTGGTAACGCGTAGAATCTATAAACTGAGATGAACGGTTGTGATGGAATGAATAGAAATGATGAGGACTGTGATACTTGCCTACAATGTTATCCAAAACCAATTCGGACCCTTTGATCTTTTGAAGGGGCCGAACCCTAAAGGAAAACCAGTCCAGACGTGGCACACGTGGGGCTCACTGTAGAAGGAGCAGATGGGGAGGCGGGGGTGCTTGACCAAAAACAGTAGAAGTTTTCTTACACGTTTGTCTAAGAAACGACCCGTCAACATAAAGCAATGCGAGGGGGTTTTAGTCAAGGAAGGAGTTCCGAGTCAGAATAAAGAGGAGTCGTTCGAACTTTGAGTTGGAACGGAATTTCTTCTGCTCTTTATATAAAATGGGCACCTCCCTGTCTTTGTTCTCCCTGCAAAGCCATTAAAACCCAACAAAAGTCTTCGTTTGGTTTTTGCCTTTTCTTTCCTTTTGGGTTCGTCTCTCTCTCTATTAGCACATTTCCAATCCTACATGTTGCTTTGATTGATTCTCAATCAGCTAAGCTAGCTCAAGTTTACGGTTGGTTGAGAGAAGACAAACATACAACTTAAGCTTGCTGGTTGAAGAGGTTTCTGTGAGAGTTTTAACCATGGAAAGTAGTCGAAACTTTGTTGTAAATGGAGGGATCAAGATGCCCATTGGTTACAGGTTCCATCCTACAGATGAAGAGCTTGTGGTTCATTACCTGAAGAGAAAGGTTTTGAGTCTCCCATTACCTGCTTCTGTCATTCCTGAGTTTGATGTTTTCCAGACTGATCCTTGGAGCTTGCCAGGTTAGCTGCCTCTTAATTTCTCTCAAGGTTAATGCTTTCATAGTGTCAACTCTAAGTAGTGCTTGTTCTAGTTCTTTGAAACCCAACTTTACTTAGTGAAATTTTCTGTTTATCAGATCTTTGTACATGTCCTTAATCATCCTTCAATAGTCAAATTCTCTTAACATAGTTTTATCAGGATTCCATGCGATAATGAAAGTTGTGGAAAACAAGAATGCATAGTTCTGTCGAACTTCAGGAAACAAAAACTGTCAGCAATTTGTAACATGTGCTGTGTTTGCAGCCTGAGAATTTGTAGTATAGTAATGAAACTTACCATGTCTAGAGCATCAAATTTGAGAGGGGTTTTCTAAAAGAGCTTAAATTTTTGTGGGTTTCCAGGTGATTCGAAAGAAAATAGGTATTTCTTTAGCAACAGCTATGGCAATGAAAGTAACAAGAATGGCAAGAGAGCAGCTGGTTCTGGTTACTGGAAGCCCATTGGCAAAGAGAAACCAATTTTAGCTTCTGGAAGCAACCAAGTAGTTGGGATGAGAAAAGCTTTGATTTATTGTGAAAGGAAGAGTTCCAATGACACCAAGACTCGATGGCTCTTGCATCAATATCGCCTTGTCGGCTCAGCGGCAGCTCTCGGTTCATCTCAGGTAACATAACAACAAACTAAATTAGTGGCACAGCTCATTTTTCTGCTAATATAAGTAGCAGTCATCAAAGATTTTGGTAAGAATTGTATCTTAGCTATGGGTTTGCTAATATTTGCAGATGTCCAAGTGGAAATTGTTTGGAGATTGGTTGGTTTTCCGGGTGTTTCAGAGGAAGAGAAATGCCAAAAAACATAGAGCCAGTTCTAACAAAAGTCAGACTACCAGTGCAGTGACCATGCCTAGTTGTATTGATTTTACAGTGGAAGACTGCTCCGTCTATGGTCCTCCTCAACCTTCTTCACCGAGTTCAAGTGAAATTACTGAGGTTTCTCTCAATGGATTAGTTGAGGAAGAAAGCAGTGATTTCATTAGTTCTTACTCAAATCGTTGAATGAGAAAGCAGTGAAAAGAGTTCACACTAGACTTTGTACCAGATCTTTTTAACTGTTGTGCAAGAAATGAGAAATGGGCAAAAAGGAAAAGAAAAAAAAATGGCAAATTTGACTGTTTCTAGGACTTGAGATATTGTGTTCTGCAAGCAAATCCCAAACCTTTTACCATGATATTGCTCCCTCCCTATCCTGCTTTGTTAGTTTTCTTCAAATTTGAAACAATTATGGTGAGAGGGGAAAGTGGTGGCACAAATTATTGCTCATATCTAAGCTTTCATTATCAAAAGGCAAATGATTTTTGAGACAGAAAGATGACTAAAAGTAGACACAAATATGAAAGAAAATACAATACTACAGAAAAAGAGGCATCCAAGGAAAGAAGTAGGAAAAGGGGTTCTGTTCTGTATTATCTAATCATGACATTGTAACAATGGTGGCAAAGGGCATCTGCACATGGGTGCTGATTCTCCACCCCTACATATACTCCCAACATCTGAAGAACTCAATACCCCTTCCTAAAATATGCTTCCATTTATCGAATCTAGGTGACTTTTTTAGGCTTGTGTTCTTACACATTACTTTAAGGCCTTCAGCCACATTTTAAAAGTAAACAGATTCTCTCTCTGTCTTTCAATTTCAAAAGGATTCTGTATAATTAATGTGTTCTTCTGCTAAAGAATGGTTTTGGTTGTGTTGTGTTGGGAAAGGAGAAGAAAGACAGACAAGGGTTTTTCTAAATACTTCCAGGCTTGGGTAACACAACTTCTCATGGGATGATGAGAATAAGATTCTTCTTGTCAGCCAATAGAGCCAAAGAAGAGGAACATTTTTTTTTTAATTAGGTTTTTTTAACCTAACCTCAACTCTCCCACCACCCCAGGTTTTCCCATCTAGATCCAAGTATCCAAATGAAAAAGATGCATAAAGGGAAACTAAAAGTCATTGCAGCAACACATTAGAAACTGCAGAAAATGGATTGGTTGGTTAGATGTGATAAAAGAAACTAACTTTGCTCATCAGATGATCACAAGCGTGCAATCTTCTGAAAGACCATCATTTTATTTATCTCAGTAGGACCCAAGGCAAGTTGGGTCAATGACAACTCACATGTGTACCACATGTAATGTACAAACACAGGAAAACATTGAGAATTTGAGATGATTTTCTAACTCAAAAATCCCTACTATTGAAAATACATGACCTCCCAACAAACATTTTGGAAAGGTATATATATATATATTTGTGGGGTTTTGAGTTGTTTGCTAGCTTCATTTGGACAAAATGCTGTACCGCTGTCATTGAATCATAGGGTAGTTTCAGCTAATCAAGGGATCACTACTGAATTGATCACGTTAGTCAATAACCAGTGCATGTCCATAGCAAATATCAAAGATTCTTTTCTTCTCTGTCATAGTGTTTCCATTATAAGCAGTCAATTTGCTGTAAGGGAACTGAAAGAAAAGTTTAGCAGCAAGCTCTTCGTGACAGAGGTTGGGCTGCTACAGAACTACCGACCAAAGTTCCTTGTGGCAGAGGTTTAAGAATCATAATCTTATCACGTCTTCCCTGTTAAAGACGCAAAGAGACATGGGGTTTGGCTTGCGGCGTAGATTGCTGACTTTCACGCCTCTATTTTTGTCAATGGAAGGTGAGTCTAGTTGTTGTGGTAGGCCATAAATGTACAAGTACAAGCGTTCCTTTTTGTAACTTCCAATTGCACCAAGAAGCCTTTCTTCATGCTAGGAGTGGAATGGTTTCTAGCAACTAAATATCTAAATCCTAAAATAGATAAAACAATTGTACAAGCGAGTAGTAAACTTGGTTGTGAAATACAACCTAGAGCTAGAGGGTAAATAGCGAGACCTGGTCAAAGTATTTTGACAATATTATTAAATAAAATTAACAATCTAATCTCAGTTAAGAAGAACAATCCATTTTCCTTTTTGTTGATTGATTCAGTGGCAAGATGCAGATAATCATCCTATCAACGGCTTCATACGATATCTGTAAGCTCACACTTTTTGTACCTGCTCTTTCTTTTATCAGTGTTAATTTAGGACTTTGATACCCCATAGGCCATAGCATGGTATTCCATTCCTCAAGCTGGTGGGCTGAGGTGTGTATTCTGAAATTGCCCAATCCGGGAGAGAACTTTCTTATCTTAGCATTGCCTTCAAGGATGGAAGGGAGCAAATATTTTCTTTTGTTTATTCTTTGGTATCTCCATCAAAGGCCATGTCTAACTCTTTCAAGTGCTAGCTCCACAAACAAAGATGCCTAAAACACGCAGGGGAGAAAAGGGTTCCATTAAAAAAGAACTTGGTTTCCTAGGCAAACGTTCGATGATCAATTACTTTAAAATTTTGCGTCGTAGCATTCTTTTTGGGTGCCTAATTTGACTATTTGATTATTATGAGGTGCCTAATTTCTTCCATATACCTTGACTATCTTCATCTTCACCATTGGATGCTTAATGTACAACAAGTGCTTGTGTCACGGGGGTTTTCTCTCAACACCCATGTGGCGCTCAACCACGCCCTTTCCTGGGCCACTTTGGTGGCTAAGCTAGCCTTACCCGGTCAAGGATGGTCTCCTTTGACAAGATCACTGATACGGAAGTAAAACCTCTAACACCGGCACGTTCAATCAATCGAGCCCTGCTCGCTAAGCCTCTGATCCACACACTCGGGACAGCTCCCCTGTCGAGCCCTTGCCTGGAGAGCACCACCTCGAGCAGTTCCTCATTTGGCCACACGCTACTCTCGGACACCTTATCCTGCCCGCATGCTCACTCAATTGAGGCAACCGGCACTCAATGAAAAAGGCACACAAGTAATAAGAAAACAAGTAGGAAAAAGGGTATTTGTATTTACACTTAAATATACAAATGTACAAGGACGGCCTAAGCTAACTGCACAATGTCCCTCAGCACCCCAACCCAACAGCCTTGGTAGACATTCACTGTAGCCCCTCACAATGGCCCTCAAGTGCCCAGCCGCTTTAGCCCCTAGGTTCCCAATTCTACTCATTCTCCCAGCAGCCTCTCTCCAACCGCTTAACCAGCAGCAACCGGCCAACAACCTTGGCAAGGTCCCCCAAGGTCCCTTTTTATAGTGAGAAGCCTCCTTCAGCAGTCCCAAGGGATTCCCAACGGTCCTGGTGCCATTTGGGGTCTGTCTAGGCTCTCTACTGCACTTCTGGGCCGTTGGCCAGCGGCTAGGCAACGATTTGCCCACCCGTTGGGTTGGTTAGTCTTTCCTACGCAGCCTGGGTCTATCCTGGGCTACCTTCACCGCCCACGCTGCCTACTTGTGTACCAGTTAGGCTTGCTTGCGCACCAGAGTTGTTCCTGTGCTTGCGCGTCCTACTCTGCTCGCCCCATTGCCTGGGCCTTCTGTGCACCAAAACTGCCAACCATAGTCATCTGCGCTCCCAAGCAATACCTAGTGGCCGGAGATCTGCCCCATCTACAAGCCATGCTACCCTTCATCAAGCCAACCGGTCTAGTGAAACAAAATGGGTATGAGACTTGCACAAAGTACAACCAGTTGTACATGCAAAACTAGTGGAAGAACATTGATGTTAAATCTAAGTACTCTATTCTTGTACTTGAAAAACATGGATGTTAAGTCAAATATAAATCTTTTATCTCCATTTGATGTTTCATTTTTGTAACATGTTTAATAAATTTTTATATTAACATTACTCTTATTGTTAGACTATTTATCAATGCTAGGAAGGTTTAAGGTTTAGGATTTTTGATTACTAATATAAAACTGGACACGTGTTATAAAATTATGAAAGAGACACCAAGTGAGACAGAATATTTTTCTTCTTATTAATTCTAGTCTTGATTTCATTACCCCTCCATTTTAAAGTAGGATTGTTAATTACAAATTTTAATCAATAATTCACTAATTATTTCTATCTCTTTATCTTTAGCTTTGTTCGTCACAAGAGGTAATTACTAGCTAAAATTAGCTGCTATAGCCTGCTGTAGAATCTCTAATTAAAAAAAAAAACAAAGGACTTTATAAATTTGTGTTTAACTTGTTATATCAATGCCACTTTTTATTATACTAATCAAACATGGGCAAAGGGAGAGGGGCGCCACCCCTTAATTTTTATTTTTTTTATTTTTATGTGTATAAAATTCAAAATATTCAATTTTACCATTTTACATGGATCAAATGAGTTGGTTTAGAGTAGTGGTAAATTTAAGTTAACTTTTAAAGTCTTGATGTAACTTAATGTGAAAATTTAATGTTAATTTTTCTTTTGCTTTATAAATATTACGATACATAATGTGAAAATCTAATATTAATTTTTTTTACGTTTATATCTATTTATATTGATAAATTCAAAAGCTTATATTTAAATTGTTAATGAAATATGTTAACCTAATATGAAAATCTAATGTTAATTTTCTTCCGGCTTTACATCTATTACGATATCTAATATAAAAATTTAATGTTAATTTTTCTTCTTGTTTTATATCTCCTTATATTAGTAAATCAAAAAATTTATATTTAAATTATTAATGAAATTTTATATTATAATTTAATTTTATTTCAAAAGTGATTAATTTTTTACTCCAAATCAAATCATTAAACTGATTCATGCTTCGATCAATGATCAGATCTGTTACTTTTTATGATTACTTTTGTAGCCACCCTTCGTACGAAAACGCTGAATCCGCCATTGCATGGACAACAACCAAAGAGAAAACAAAATGGAAGGTTCTGATCAACAACATAATTAACAGCTAGCAAGTAAATGCAAAATTTAATCCCTTCAGCCTGTTGTGGTTATCAACCTAATCCCACAATTCTCGCTGGATCTCTGGTTTTCCCTTTCCATGCAAATTCCAGAAAAAGGCCATAGTTGCAGCAGACTCTTTTCTAATGATCAACCGAATTTAGATGATATTCCCTTGGTTCCTTTTGCATGTCCTTCCTCCTTCATGGGTTGTGGTGTATCAAAGTTCGACATTGCAGACGACGGAGAAGCCGCCTCCTCCCAAACCCGTCGATTCAGGCCTGTTCATCCAAGGAATGATCGTGCTGTGGTGGACAGTAGCCTCTTTTGCAAGCCGTTGCCTGAAGGTGGCAAAGAAGGAGAGCATGCGGTGGGTGAGATTCAAGAAATCAATGTGAAGAAGGAAAATTCTGCGGCAAAAGGAGGGATCCAAATGGAAAAGGTTAAAAAGGAGGAGGCCTGTGATAAGGAAGATTGCAAGGAGGACGACTGTGGTTTTTATCCTAGATCGCCAAGTTTCAGGGAATATTGCATTTTATCTGAGTCTGATGGTGACAACAGTGAAGGTGAGCCTGGTTTTGCATGGATTAATATCAAGGAAACTGTAAGCAAAATCATAACAACTCTACGTATTATAATGCTAATTTTTAACTCTTGTTATTGATATGAAATGCTGAAGAGAGCGTAGAAATTTTTTGCTTGGAAGATGCGAGGCACACGAAAATGATAAAGAAGCATGATCTTCCTATTGACTTAATTCCTGAAACTGGTAGTTCCTGGCATTTGCATCCTTTGCAAAACCAATTACCATCGGAGAGTTTGATGTCAATTCTGTATTTACAGGTGATAGTGCTGCAGGGAAATTGAAGGACAAACGACAGAGGAATGTTCGAAATAGCAACAAGGTATGAATATTAAGAACAGCTCTCCTGGTAGAGTCGGCCAACACCATCCAGTTTTAATGATCAAATTGTGATTCAGCCCTACATACATTATAATAATTGCACAGATTATAGACTAAATCAGTATGATTCTTATAAATTACGATATTATTAGAACGATATTGAGAATTATATATAAATTAACATAATTCAATTTACAAAATAACAAAGAAATGCCTAAATGCTTCGTCTGGAGGCTCTTCATAGACATGCAAACCCAACTGCATGGGAATCAGCCTCTCTATGAATAACTTTTTTCTTTTTTTTTTTTTGTGGAAAGTGTCTCCCTATGAATAACTTGCTTGATGAGATAAAGGCAGAAAGAAATTGTTTTCTGTATCAATCTTGCATATAACTTCATTTAAAGAATTATAAAAAGTTTGCTTTTATTGCTTATAGTTTTGTCCGGTTACCCTATTCAGATATAACCATTTTCATTTCCTTTCTCTAAGCAGGGATCAAGAACTCGATTAGGGAAGAGAGAAAGGATAGGAAAAGGAATTAGGACTGGTTCAGCAAAAGTAAAAAGAATTTTAAGAGTCTGATTCTACAATAATCTAAACCAATCCTTATGGTCACAGCATCAACAAGCTTGTTTGCAAGGGTTGCTTGGTAATCCTAGAAGAAAGGAAGACCATTTTAATCCTGAATTTAGAGCTTCCATCTGCCTGTGTTTTTTCCCATCCCCTTCAGCTCTGGAAGGAACAAGATAGAGCAGGAAAATTGACTTGTGACCTCTGTATTTTCTTGATTAGATGCAAACTATATTTCTTCATTTGAGCACTCAAACATTTAATTTATTAATTAGTGTATGATTTTATTTTTAAAAAAGTAAATTTCAAATCTCTTTTCTCTAAATATATATAAAAAAATTTCTTTACAAGAGAAAATGGATTGTCGTGAATGCTAAAGTTATATACATTGCAAACATTAGAACAATTTATTTTCTTTCTAAATTATAAATCTCCTCCTTTTGATTTGAATAATGCCTCCCACTCTCCCACTCAAATTCTATCTTCATCTGCATCCATAGAAATTGCAGTTTTTTTTCCATAAAATTTACCATTTATTTAATTTTATTAGTTATTGCATAAATCTAATATAAATATATAAAAATCAAAGTCTTTGACAAAAAAAAAAAAGCAAAGGCGAGTAGCATGAGTAATAGTCACATGTCTTTTAATTGATGAATTTGTTTGATTTGATTAAGTTAAATTTTTTGAATAATTAATTATATTTATTAATTTTAAATTTTCGATTCCATTTATATGGGTACTTTGGTAAAAAACTTGAGAATTACTCTAAAATGACATTATGATTTGGATCCATTGTATATAAATAGCTTTTTATTTACTAATCTTTTTGTTGTCAGGCTTAATTTGTGCTTAGTCTCAAGATAGTGAAATATTAACTCTTTATAGTAAGAATGGTAACAGATTTGATATTCTTTGTTTTTGAAGTATTGATAATTGAATCTTATTATTAGTCAAGATACTTAAACTCTATAAATAAGCAATTAATATTTGAAAATTGCTATTCAATATTACTTGAAATAGATAAACATTATTCTTTAAATATCCAAACTTGTAAAATATTAATTTTTCGAATCTCTTCGGTTCATGGGTTTCGGATAATCGACCCCCGACCCCAACCTAAGAAAGAAAATTATTTCACCTCTAGTACATGTAATTTTCTAATAATAAAAGATAAACCATCATGGAATTTCTTTTTTGTTTTATAGAAAGATAATAATTTTAGTATTACAATGATAACCCTGTCCTTCTTGAACCCAAGACAAGTAGGAAACACTTCACCTGAACCAGTCCCAAATTCAAATAGAAAGCATCCTAACCCTATGTAATCAAGGCAAATGAATTCAGAACACCTGAAAATTAAATTCCCTTTACCATCCTACTCCTTAGGGCTGGCTTCGTGTAATGGTACAGTGAAAGAAGTGTCTCCAGGCAGCCTAGTGGTAGACTGGCTTCGGAATTGACTAGAACCTGATAAAGCATTTGCACCCCATTTCACTAGGCAACTGCTCATTTAAAATGCACCCAATTTCCTTTTCGTGTCGACGAGTAGTTTTCTCTTATGGCATACAGCTCAATTCTTCCTTCAAATCATTTAAGATTTTGATCTGTTTTCTTCAAGACAAAGGCGTCTAGCTTCTGATATTGTTTCCAAATGAATAACTGTCATGTAGTAGGTAAATGTACAGAGGATCGATCGGTCTCAACTGTTAACCACCTCTGATTCCCTGTGCCATAACAGAAGGAAGGACCAATACCATCACCAGCTCATTCCTGTCAATAATCCCAATTCTTGTTCAACTTTTTGGCACAACATGTGGAAAAAGGAAATTAAGTGCTTCCCAGGACACCCTTTTTTCTTGGTCAGATACACGAAAAGAGCACTAATTTCTTTTTCAAATTTTTACTACATATCCCAAAAGAAAACACAAAGAAGAATAACTCTATGAAACCATTAGTCGTAGAAACTAAAAGAGACAAAACATGTGCAGGTGGTCACTGTTAGGTTTGATGGATACATAGTGAAGTGGAAGACTTTTGTCTGTAGGGACTCCTTGAATTGTAATGATAAAAGTAGAATTTTAGAAGGAAAGAAAATAGGAATGACCAAAGTAAGTTATCTGTTAATTTTTACATAAATATTAAAAACAATATTTATAAATAATACATATTCTAAAATTATTATTCTACTTACTTAAAAGAATTAAATCAGGTATTAGTGGAGGTACCATCTATTAGCATGAGTTGAAGAAAAGGTACCAAAAAACATCCCTGCCCTGGTTGTATTGATACAGGACCGACTAGACACGACCCAGCACTCTTTTCCCCTAGCCTACACTTGAAGAAGGCGGCCCTTTGAAAATGGTAGCTCCTCTTTGATCTTGTCATGCTTCTTTCTTTCCTTAAGCTTCAAGAAAACCAGCCTTTTTGACCAAGGGAAAGTCCTCATTCAAAGGTGTACATTAATTGTCTTCCATTTCACCTGCTGTCGCTATCAAACCTTACTTATGTTCAATCTCACCTTGCAGATTCATTATCTGTTTGCAACACAAAGGCCCTCCTTGTCTTCCATCTGACCAAGTACTTGGAAGTTATTTCTCCCGTATACTCCAGTTTCTTTTCCGAAATAATTTAAAATAATTTCTCTTATATTAAACTTTTTTAATAATTCTTTTATTTTTTATATTAAAAATATTAAATTTTTTTTTTCAAATTTAAGTATATAATATATCAGAGTTAAAACTTCTGTATATCTCTGATTACTATTATAATAGGAAATCACATGAAACGAATATAAGACTACTTAGTTTACCAATCTCATGAAATTAACAGTTCTGAAAACAAAAAAAGAAAAGAAAAGTAAGAGATAAAACAGATAATGTGTCCTAATAATTTCAGGGTGTTTATCCTTAGATCAGCTTGTGTTTGAAAAAGGCAATCCTCGTTAGGGTGAATAAACTGTTTTCAATTTTAGGTACAAGAGTTGATTAACTACCCATTAAAGTTGTTAACCAAGGTTTTTAATTGGACAACGACAAGACCATTTTCAGTTAAGATTCTCAACTCTTTTCATAATGGTGGGGGTTGCACTTTTTGGCTTACTTTTTATTTTTTATTTTAATTTCAAGGAAGGAAAAATTAAATCTAATTTTAAATTTTAAATTTCAATCCGAAATGATTAACATCAAAGAGGGTTGATATTAATTATTCCGTGTTGTAAAGGGATAATCATTTATAGATATGATGTACTCGATCCGATAACATAAGGTTCAAGTATCCTATATTTGATTGTGGATGAATTATCAAAATTTGATTATACATATGTTTATATAATATCCTATATAATGTTTCAAAATTTTATAATTTGTGAAATTTGAATATTTATCCTCTTTACTTTTAAGACAAATTTCACCATTTTAACTAATTTTTTTATAAATTAGTAAATATAAAATTAAATTTTTATATGGTTTTTAGTTATTTAAATTGTTATTCTAGTTATTTAATGGATTTAAGTAATTAGTAATAATGTTATATTATTAGGATTCGATTTTGAATAATGTTTTGTGATTTTATTCAGATTTTAATAGAGTTTGGGTACTTTTTAATTCAATAGATTTGAAATTAAGTATCTAAAATAATATGATACCCTATTCGTTTACATCTCTGTTCATGAAAAATAGTCATTCTTAATTCAAAAATGAACCAAACAAAAGCATAGAAATAGAGAGAAAATGAAGGAGTGAGAGCTATATGCTTGAAAGGCATAAGATATTTTCTAAAGGACAATAAAAATATTTTTATATTAAGCTTATGAGTATAAGTTTGATTAATTTTTTTTTGAAAATTAAGTTTGATGAATATTAATATTTAATTTAAAAATAAAAATACTAATATTTAACTTAAATAAATTTTTAACTTAAAATATTAATATTTAAAGTATGCAACACTATTAAAATTAAAAAAACTTAATGAAATCATTTAGTACAATTAAAATTTTAATTTATAAATTGAATAAATCTTTCTAATAATTATAATAAAAAATATTTCAATGATGGTCATTTGATGAATACACATTTATAAGTATAAGTTTAAATCTTGCTAATAGTTATAATGAAAAATATTTCAATTATCATCATTTAATAAATACATATTTATAATTATAGATTTTGAAAATCTTACGTAATTGATGAATATTTATATTTTTATAGTGTTATAGTAAAAAAGTGATAAGATGAAATTTTTTTAAAAATTAGAGTTTATTTTCATTATAAGTATATGATTAAATGCTTTGACAAATATCATTATTGATATTATTCATTTTTTTTATTCTTAACTTTGATCCAAATTAGTAAAAACCAAAATGTCAATATTATTTTGTAATCAATTTCTATTTATCATTTTAGCATGTAAATAATTTCATTAAAAATAATATTTTTCATAAAATGATTTAAACAACAAAAAATATTTTCAATAATTTATTAAAATAATTAAAACATTAAATTTTTTTATAAAACATTTATATAATTTTTTAAATTACTAAACAAATCTCTATTCTTCTTTGTTTCTAACTCTTTAATAAAAATTGACTTACTCTGTCTCTTACTTGCCCTTGATCCCCAAGTGGCCAAGTAGTCATAAATTTTGTTTGTGTGCCCAAATTTGGTGTGTATTTCTCTGTAATTACTAATAAAGGTGAACAGATAGTTTTCTTGTCTAACTTGCCGTGTGGAGAACATACAAAAGTGTGACACTCTCCCTTTCCCTGCTGTCTAGGGCAAAAGGTGGCTCTCTAAGGGTTGCAAAACCAGAAAATTCAGTCTCGAGGATATAACTGAGGTTGGCCCAACTAGTTATCGCATCAAGTTGAGTGAAGTCAATGCTAGTGACCACCAACTCTTTTTACCTCTTCATGGTGTAGATTAATGAACATTATTTAGTGGAAACTCATACCATTCGTTCGATAAAAAAAAAAATTGTTAGTAATATAAAATAGTTCGTTACAAGACTCTCATTTATTATAACCGTAAAAACTAAAACAAAGTCTTTTTTTAATATAAATTTATTTTTACTACTAAAAAATATTAAATATTTATGTTAAATATAAAATACATTGAATTCATAACTTTTACCCTAATCATGGTAAAAGTCGAGAATGAAGAAAGAAAAGGAAAACAAAGAAGGACGAAAAGAGATTTAGGTTTTGAATTGTTGTATAATAAGATAACAATAGGTACTTAATATCATCCCATAAGTCTTATTCCGAAAATTTGACTTGAAATTTCTAAATTCAAGAACAAAGTCCAACTATTTGATTAGATGTTTTGGAGTAGGGAATTACCTGTATAATCCTATGATTAAAACCAAATTATCTGCTAATTTTCTATTTTATCTTGATGTTAATTAAAAACAAAATGGAGGGTAGAAAAGGTAGTTGAGAAAAAATAAAAACAAACGAAGATTTGACCCACCCACCTTGGTCAAACTATGATGGATCATTTTTGTGTTCCTCTTTCCTTGTCAGCGTTATCTGACTTTGACCGCCCCCTTTTGCTAAGAAACTGCTACTGTTAGCGTCCAATTATCCACGTGCCACCAAATCAACCACTGTCCTACCGCCACGTCAAACTCGATTCACACTTCCCCCGATCCCCTTCATCTTCCTACTTCTTCTTAACTTGCTATCACCACTATGATTCAAGGATCCCTTCGTTGGCTGTGGGGCCAAAACCTAATTTTCAACGGCGCATTAGATATTTTTATTCAAATACTTTCAACCATGCGCCATCGGCGTCCACTTGTGTACTTCCTGGTCGTTGGATCATGATATCTTTTTTCAAATTACTAAACAACCCTTGCTCAACACGTGTAATTTTCTAAATATCATTTCTCATTCCTTTTTTTTTTTTTATTTTTTTAAGAAAAAACAACATGTTAGTCTTCATATTCGGTTTCGGCTCCGTCTCTCTTCTCCCTTTGATTTATTAAGAGTCATTTTTTTTGACCAACAAAAAGAGAAAAAAAAAAAAAGAAAATCAAAAATCAAAAGGGAAAAAACGCTTCACTTTCAATGCCGTTGAAAGAATCGAATTAATCAGCTTCACACTCTCTGTAGCTCAGATTTTCCGGAGTTGAAATTCGTGAAAAATCGCTTCGATTTTCATTTTTTCTATTCTTATAGGAATTTTGGATTCTCCAAAGGAAACGAAAAGAGCTCTTGGATTTTCTCTCTCTTTCCTTCTTTATTTTTCCTTTTGGTGTTTGGCTCATTGCGTTAGGGTTTGTAAATTTTTATCTTTCTTTTATTTTTATTTTTTGGAAATGAAATCTTCGTTTGATAAACTTCGAAGATTTGCGCTTCACAAGAACGATGCCAAGGATAAATTAGATTTTTTATCTTCCGCTCATTTGGATGAACTCGCTCAAGCAGCTCAGGTACTTTTATTTTATCTCCTTTTTCTTTTCTTTTTCTTTTTTTAATTATGTTTGAGCTTTGATTTGATTTAAATGCAGATTAATCTTATTTTATTTTCTTAATTGGGAATTGAATCCGATTCTCTTGTTTCGATTTTTGAAGTGGAGAAATGATTTGAATACCGTTGGAACTGTAATTGCATCGGTTGGACCGAGTTGAGTTGAGTGGAGCGAGTTTCTACTTCTGTAATTTTTGAGAAATTAGGAATACGTTTTTGGTAATTTCTTTTCAATGGGAGAATGACATGATTTTATGGTCCATTAAGTTTAGAAGATTGTAAATTAGGAAATGTTTTATTTCTCATTAATAGGAAATGTCAAATTAGTTAAGAAAATGTGAAATGCTTAAGGGTTGGAGAGCATCTAAATCTGGATTACAATATCTATGAAGAAGTTGTAGGCTTCTGTGCTTAATAAAATGGTGTATGAGCACTTAGTCGATGGTTTTAATACGATATTCTTGATAATCAAGTGGAAGAAGAGTGGAATGTTAGATTCCAGTATGAAACTACTCATAGGCTTCAGCTGTGAAATGTGAAAGTGTTCTGCATTTGTATTGCTATTCAATGACTAATGCTTCGTGAAGGCTGTCTTTGTCATTTTGCATCGCGAAAGATTATAATTGGACTTTTTTTTCTTCCTCTTGGATGTGTGTACAGGATATGCAAGACATGAGAAATTGCTATGATAGCTTACTTTCTGCGGCTGCAGCAACGGCAAACAGTGCATATGGTAATAATGCTGTGTGCTATGTTGTCATATTGATTGTTAGGTTTCACTGTGTTTTATCACCCTGGTATTTCTAAATTATTGGCTATGCCAAATATGTTTTGGATGGCGCTTTTCCAGCCAATAGCAACTGGTAGTTCCAGAAATAACATGAATAGGTTTTTATAAAAAATGTTTCAATATCAGCTGTGTATTAATGACTCCCAACTATGTTCAGGTTTGCTGATGTGGAATTTGTAAGAATTTATAGGCACATAAAATCTCATAAAAGAAATTATTGTTTATACTCTGTAGCATGATCTAGGGGTCCCTTTGCTCAAGGTGTTATATTACAGCGAAATCAAAGAAAAGTAAGCTTTATGAAACATAATGTTGAATAAATTCACTTTAACAAAATTTCTTCTTTCAGAATTCTCAGAGTCACTGCAAGAAATGGGCTCCTGTCTGCGGGAAAAAAGAGTGCTACCTGATGATGAAGAAAGCAGTAAGTAGAATCTTTTGCTTCCCTAAGTTGCCTGAACTATTAGATCATTACTGGTGTAGGAATGTCGTGTAATATCTAACATGGAAGTTTGAGACCCGAAAAGCTAAACCGCTTTACTGAATTGATCATTTCATTTGAAATATTCCTATTTGTTGAGTAAGCTGCAGATTTCATGTAGCAATAGGATCTGCCAATTGGTTCAAGTAACATCTTAGAGAACTTAAGCTATGTCACTGTCCTGTCTGAGTCTCACCTTAAGACATTAATTCTATACTTATATTCATGAATATCCCTGCTCAACTTGCATGTGCCTATGGACACCTTTGAAAGAATTTCTACTTGAACATAGCTACTTTCACTGCACTGCATCAAATGATGTGCCTTATTCCATGTCTTAGGCTTCACCCCTTCAGTTAAAATCATCAATCCTATCTCAGTTACTTAATGTTTGATTTTTCTTTTATAAATATTTATCCTGCATTGTGTAATGATGTCATCAAGTAACTATGTGCTTGCAATCTTCACTATCAACTATTACCTATCGTCTCTTTGGTGGAATGGCAAGGCATTGTCAGAAGATGGTATCCCTGGCCCATACTATTGTGATATAGGTAATGACATTGCATTTAATTGCAGGTAGAATTTTGTTAATGTTGGGGAACTTGCAGTTTGAACTCCAGAAACTTGTGGATGACTATGTGAGTGTTAATCTTATTTGTAAATTGAACAAACTAAACTTTTCCAGCAATGTTTATACGTTGTGTTTTGGAACAATCCCTTTATTTGAACCTTTCTTGATGCTCTGTGTCTCAGCGTGCACATATATTGCTGACAATTACAAACCCATCAGAGTCACTTCTCAATGAGCTTAGGACTGTTGAGGTTCGTTCATCTAGATTTCTCTATTATTTAATTAGGAAATCAGAAGTTTTCAACATTATTTCTGACATGAACGGTATAACTCTTTTACCTTCATAAAAATTCTTGTAAGTCTATCATGCTTAGTGGCTTTCTCTTGTTTGCTGGTCCAGGATATGAAGCGGCAGTGTGATGAAAAAAGGTACATCAGTTTTCTCTGTGTACTTCATTTGCTTTGATTGCGGTAAATCTTTTCTGAATGTGGTTCTTGATCTTCAGAAATGTCTATGAATACATGGTAACACAACAGAAAGAAAAAGGAAGGTCAAAAGGTGGAAAAGGCGAAACTTTCACTTTGCAGCAATTGCAAACAGCTCGTGATGAATATGATGAAGTGGCAACCCTTTGTGTTTTCCGGTTGAAATCTTTGAAGCAAGGGCAATCCAGAAGTCTTCTAACACAAGCTGCCCGTCACCATGCAGCTCAGGTTTTTTCTAATTTATTACCAAAAGTTTCAAATGTCAGAAGCTTCTACCTTATCATAAGTTCAATGCTGATAACCTCCTTTTTTTTATTTCTCTTTCTCTTTTGACTGCAGTTGAATTTCTTTAGGAAAGGACTTAAATCACTTGAGGCTATTGAGCCTCATGTTAGGCACGTTACAGAACAGCAACACATTGATTACCAGTTCTCTGGCCTTGAAGATGATGATGGGGAAGATGGTGAGCTTGCCTATGACCCAAACGAAGACGGGGAATTGAGTTTTGACTATAGAGCAAATGAGAAGGGGCTTGATGTTACTTCTGCATCAAGGAATTCAATGGAGGTCAGGTTCTTATGCTACTGTAAATTTAATTCACATGTCAAGCTGTTATGGTCAATTTGTAAGTGAGAACTGCATCTCTCAGACAATAATGGCTTGGATAAATGAGGTCCAAAACTTATCTACTTGAACTTTCCATATGTCTCTTTTGTCTGTTTTCTTTCCCTTATTTTCCCCATTTTTTAATGTTTATTGGGATTGGTTCCCTCAGCCGGAATTCCATGCAAATAATAGTTTGTTTTGGCCAGTTTAGTGGTTCAATTCATTCTAGTTCTAACAGAGGGGGATGATGTAATTATTATTTTTGTGACTATTATTCATTGACCTTTTATCAATAACCATTTGTGTGTGTGTGTGTGTGTGTTGACACCTTCGTTTTATACCTAAAACTATGTTGGCTTGTTCTCCAGGTAGATGAAGTAGGTCTTTCATTTCCTCAAAGTTCAAAGATGGAAAATGCAGAGGTAAATCTCTGTTCATATGTTTTTGGCTGTATTTTGTGAAACAACAGGCTTTAAGAATTATGAATTTTTTACTGCTGTAATATGCCTTTTTTGAAGTGTTTTTTTTTATTATTATTATTGTCCGCCTGTAGGTAAACCTGGAGAAAAGCCATGGGGATATTCTGGTCTCAGGTAGGGAGCATAGAGTGGGTAGCCATTCTGCTCCCATATTTCCAGAAAGGAAGCTTGATCCAGCTGACAGAGTAAAACAAATGCTGCTGTCATCTACCAAGAAGTCTAACACATATGTGCTTCCAACACCAAATGATTCAAAGAGTGCAGTCTCTTCAAGAACAATTAGCCCAATTCCCCCCACCAGACCAACAAATGTAGCTGGACGTCCACACAATTTGTGGCATTCTTCCCCACTAGAGCAAAAGAAACATGAGAAGGATTCTGGTGATGGTCAGTCAGAGTTTACCATCTTGAAATCTGAGTCTGTCCTCAAGGAGTGCAACAGTAGTAATCCCTCTACACAACTACCTCCTCCCTTGTCCGAAGGACCGGTACCTACCCAGTTGGATACTTCCTCTGAAGCCAAAAAGATAAAAAGAAAAGCTGTTTCTGGCCCATTAACTAGTAAACAATTGCCAACAAAGCCTTTATCTGCGACGGGTCCCATTCCCTCTGCTGAACTTCCCCATTTAGCTTCTGCAGCATTTTCTCATTTGCCAATTCCTCAACCTTTATCACCTCCAAAAGTATCCCCAAGTGCTTCACCTCCCCTTGTCTCTTCACCTAGAATAAATGAGCTTCATGAGCTTCCAAGGCCTCCTGGTAGTTCAGCTGCCAAGCCAGCAAAATCTCCTGCCTTGATTGGTCACTCTGCTCCACTAGTCTCAAGAAATCACGAGGTTTCTACAAGTAATATTCCTTCACTGGCATCAAGTGGAGCGTCTCCTCTTCCAACTCCACCTTTGGTTGTCCCTCGAAGTTTCTCTATACCCTCTAGCAATCAAAGAGCAATGGCGATTCATGTTTCCAGGCTTTTGGAGACTCCACACGACAAGGATGGAGACGTCGCATCCCCTCCATTGACACCCATTTCCATTGGAAACATCAAAACAATACCAGGTGTTTCTGAAGTGGCATCTCATTCAGGCCAAATCAGAGGTAATCAGACCTTTATCTGTTAACTTTTTCCGCAAGTTAATGTTTTACTTCAACTGCAGCTGCAAATTATAAGGGAAATCATTGTGACTTGATGCAGGCGGGAGCTGACATAAACCTCGATTCATTTCCACCGGGTCAAAATTTTCAAGTCTCAGCTATCCATAAACTCTGGCGTAGGTCTGTAAATATGACGTTTAGCGAAGCGTTTAGGTTCTCATCTCAATCTTTGTTGGCCATCTATTAGCGATGATGAGAACTAAACGCCACAAGATTTGAGTCAATGTTACATATCAACGTATATTCTTCACATGAGGAATTTTTGTACATTTTTTTTTTTTTTGAGTTCTTTTGATGTACGCTGCTGAGGAAGCACCAAAAGGGGGAAAAGGATTTGGCATTTGCATTTGTCAGGCATTTGAAAGCCTTGCCACGCAAATTCTCTTGTAGCATGAATCATGATGCCACAATAATGAGTGCATTTATATTGGATTGGAGTTGCAAGATCCACCAGCACCAAACTTGTTTTTCCCTTTAGCAATCGCTGCCATATGTTTATAGTTGGATCGGACTAGGCTTTAATGGGCTGTTCAAGCCCATTGACAGTTGAGCTAGAAGGGCTTTAACTTTTATTTGGACCTTTAAGGGCTTCCGGGCCCATATATCCTTGTGCCGCTCAAGTCCCTCTCTATTTGTGCCCTTATGGTCTGTTCTAGGCCGCTTGTGGTTGGACCATGTTAGGTGGTTGCTCAAGCCTATTTATAGTTGGGTCAGGCTGTTGTACCGGGTAACAGCTTCTCTTTTAATTAGATAAATGGGTTTGAGTTTTTAATCTAGTAATATTATATATTTATAATATTATAATTGATGGGTATTTTAAAGGGTAGATTTTGTTTTTAAACTCGGAAAGATAAGGTGTTTAATTTTAAAAATTTATGTCTTAATAAAATAAAAAAATAGAGATCAAGTTATATGTCATGTTGAAAAAAAAGTTGTTACACGTCATGTTGAAAAAGTTTATTACTCGTCATATTTAAGGTATTTAACTCTAATAATTTATATCTTAGTGTAATACAAAGATAAAGATTAAGTTATATAAAAATTAAAAAAAAATTATTATAAGTCATGTTAAAAAAAAGTTATTACATGCTATGTTTAAGGTATCTAACTCCAACCATTTATGTTATAGTGAAGTACAACGACAAACACCAGGTTACATGACATGTTAAAAAAAAATTATTACATGCTATGTTAAAAAAGAAAAATTATTATACATTATGTTTAAGGGGTTTAACTTTAACAGTTTATGTCTTTAATGAAATACAAAGATAGAGATTAAGTTATATGCTATATTGAAAGAAAAAAAAATTATTATGAGTCATGTTGAAAAAAAAAATTATTACACGTCATGTTTCATGTTTAAGGTATTTAACTCCAATAGTTTATATTTTAGTAAAATACAAAGCCAGTTACACGCCATGTTAAAGAAAAATTATTACACATCATGTTGAAACTAAAATTGTTACCCATCATATTGAAAAAAATAAATTATTACATGTTATGTTAAAGGTGTTTAACTCAAACAATTTATATCTTAATGAAATACAAAGATAGAGACCAAGTTATACATCAGAAAAAAATTGTTATATGTTATATTGAAAAAAAAAACAAAACTATTACATGCCATGTTTAAGGTGTTTAACTTCAAAAGTTTATATTCTAGTAAAATACAAAAATAAAGATTAAGTTACATGTTATGTTTAAAACATGTTATATTCAATAAATTTGTTACACTACAAGTGCATTAGAGTTGTTATATGCAGATATGGCATGTAACAACTCTAAGTCCTATTCTAATTTACAAAGTTTATTTATATAACTTCAACTTATTAATTTTAGAGCTCTGTAAATGTAAATTAATAAACTGAAAAACATATATTGTTGTCATTTTATTTTTTTAGTTTGTAAATCCACAATGATATGATGAGAAATAGATAGAGAAAGATGATGATAGTGGTAAAATTAGAGAGTCATATGCCGGAAGAGAAATATCAAGAGCATAATAGATGGTGAGATATAAATCGAGAGCACAGAAAATGAATGACCGATAAAGAAATTGAGAAGAGAAATTGTGATAAATAATTTAATTTATTCAAAATAACTTCAATGACATTTTTATCAAGTTATGGTAAAAGTTGAATAAAAACAATTAACTTGTACCTTTGTACTAATCTTACGAGGTTGACATTTTTTACAATTTCTTTTATTTTAAACTTGGTGATTCATTGTGATCTTAAGTTCAAACTATTATAAATATATATTTATATATTTACATTTATTAATAAATATTAAATTTTTATTTTAAAAAATATATAAACACTAAAATTTAGTAAAAAGTAACATTTTATTATTGAAGTAATAAAAAATTATCAATAAGTTCGTAGTGCAGCAGGACTTGTTGTTTTAACAAAAATACTTCTGTAAAATTTGTTAACTAATTAATAAATCCCTACAAATATCTATTCCATAAAGAAAATAATAAACAAAAATACCTGTAATTCTTTATGGATAAATTCCAAAGACAGGTTCTTGACCAAAAAATAAATCCCAAAGATAGGCAGGGAGCAGAGCAAAATAGCTGAGCTTGCTTCCATGGAGATGGCAACTATTCTTCACTCTTCTCTTCCTAATCTCCCATTCCACAATCCTGTTTTGCACCCAAAATTCCCACACTCTTTCTCCACAAAAATCGACCGACGGACTTCTCTTCTCTCTCAAAGTCTCACAATTTCTCGCCCTCCCCCTCGAAAATCTCTCTCCACCAACTGCTCTGTCTCTGATGACACCGCTTCCAGTGAGTTCAATCCCCCC